CTTAAATTAATTTTTTCATCACTAGTGATCTTGAATCCGGTCAATTGGTTAAATGGAATAGAAACTTCATCCGACATTCCATTTAAACAAAAAGAAATTTCACCCCCACCTTCAGATTGCATAGAATCTCTAATTCTATATAAAAAAGCTAAATCACCAAGATATTTTGAATTTATAACAGCAGAAGGTTTTCCACCAAAATATTCAAATTGACATTGAATGATATCAATTTTTAATAAATTTTGAGGTTGACAGAATAAAGGAGAAGGAGAAGCAGATTTTGAAGTTTCTATTGACGCAAGGTAATCAAAAGAAGGTGAAGACATTGGAATTGAAGAAGAATTATTAAGAAATTCTTGTTGAGAATTGGGAATTTGAGAAGATAAATCGAAGGAATTTTGGGAAACGTTAAATGAATCATTATGTTCGCTAGATTTAACATCATCAATTAAAAGGTTTTTCAAGTTATTATTATCAACTAGTTTACTACATTCAATAATATCTTTTTTACTATCATCAATTTTAGAATTTTTTGTTAAAGCATTAGAAGTACCTAAAGAAGCAAAAATATCATTCAAACTATTTATATCCGAAAACCAAACCTCCTTTTGTTTATTCGTTGAATTATGAGAAGTAGGTAGTGATGGAGAATCAAGCAGAGTATAAGAAGAGGGATTTGAAGTTATCTGTTCAGTTATTAAAGAGTCCGATTCATTTTGTAAGGTATCAAATATTGAAGAAGTAAATATATTTGTTTCATCAGTATTACGATTTAATGGAGGTGTTGAAGAATTCTCTTTTTCCATTATTAGAAAATAATATTAAAATAAAAATGACAATATTTAGAGATTAATTAAAATATGTTTGTATGCACGTACGTAAGTCGCACGCGAAACTACCGAGTGAAAAAAAGTGATAGTATCTGTATGATTAAAATTCACATAACTATTTATATTATCTGAACGTAGTACTTATAACCCAAACAAGAAACCTACAGTAATACAGAATTTTTTTTTCAGACGTAATATGTATTAAAATTTTCCACTAGAATATCAGATATATATTTTTTGGTTAATTAAATATTGGTAATAAGAAAAGCAATTTTTTTTAATAAATAAATAAATAAATAAATAATAATTACTTTAAATTTTTACATAATATTATCCACTGTCGTAAATTACATTATTGAAGAAATAGAGGTGTTAAATGCTAATTATTACAGTAGACAGGCACTATCGCTATCTAACGAACGAGTCTCTTTATAACGACTTCTGAATAAATGAGTAGTCAGTTGCAGTTCGATATAGAAAGTGTGTAGGCTTTTTTGAGAAAACTTAGTAACTTTATACCGTAAAACGAACTTTTTTCTTTCAGAACTATTTGTTCGTTATAGAGAGCTGACAGTAGGAAAAAAGATAAAATAATATTAGTATTAATGATTGCTGTACTGGAATTTTTGGTTTTTTTTTTTTTTTTTTTACAAATGACGTGCTAAATTCACGCTTATATACGTATTCAAGCGGTAATTTACTATAAATTCTTATAATAAATTCAGAATTTCCAATTAAACAATCTGTTTTGAAAGCTGATTATCAATCATTTATGATTTTTAGATTACTTTGAGATTTAGTACATCTTTAATTAAAAAACTCATAGTGACTAATCACATGCTAATTAATAATATGAAATGATATAATTCACGTGATAACTTCATGTTTTCTCAGAATACACTAAACAGCTTGGTTGAGGATCGGCAAGTAGTTACAAGTTTTCAAGTGTTACGACATTGAAAACCAAAGCGTGGTTTACGCCTTTATGATTGAAATGACCGAAAGAAACACGTAGATTACTTATAATAATTATCCGAATATGTTCTTACGAACAATATGTACGTATATAACTGCGCCAAGTCGAAATTATTCAAACTATTCAAATTACTCAAATTACGCAAATGATAAACTATACAAGTTTACTTTAATAGACTATATCGATTTATATTTACTATTTTAAACTCGAGAATATACTACTACGTATTATATTTTCACACAAAAACACGAACCAAATAAGTTAAAAGGTATTAAAAAAAAAAAAAAAATCATACCTATTACGCAGTTTGCATTATAATATATAAGAAATAACTACATTAACTACATACCTGCGTACATGAACAATACGTTTCTAATATGTAATACGTAATAATTCCCACCCCCTTTCTCATTTTAATTCCAGTTTGATTCATATCGATCTTCATATTTTTTTTCAATTCGGGTCACTTTTACCAAGCATTAAAAGAATTTTAATACACTATCAAATTTTAATCAGTCACCACCACTCACTTAATTACCGAAACTTGTGCTTAAAAGTTAATAAGAAACTCGATTATTTTTATACTAATAACTAAAACCATTGTTAAATTGTTTCATTCATGCGGCGGAGTAAAACTGGTATATGTGCAAGCTAGATACGACACAAAAGAATCACTCATTTGATCACTTAAAATAAGCATGAACTTCTTTTTTTTCAATTATAAAACTTTTTCACGCTTTTCTTTTACCTCACGCATATTATTTATCGATTAAATCAATCAATAAGTGTAAAAAAATTTTTTTTTTATTTGTGGAGAATTTATTAAATTATTATAATTTCATTTAAATAGAGATTGGGCTTCTCGAATTTGTTGACTCTCTCTTCGCTTTCTCGTTACTTTTCTTTATTTTTTTTTTTTCTTGTTCCTTTAATCACCAAAAATATCCAAAAATACCTCATCTTCCTTGGTATTTTTTTTTTCTCTTTGTACTTTAAATAACTGTAGTTATCATTCCTTGTGAGAGAATCCACACCTTTTTATTAGGTAAAGGAATTTCTCCTTTAGATCCGTGTTTTTTCATGTCTACCTCCTGCACAGTGTATCTCCATTAGTCAAGGTGAGAAACGAGAATCATTTTTTATTATATATTTATTCGTTGATGACATATGACTTTTCTTTCGTTCTAACCTTTACTAATTTTTGAAAAAATTTTTCGCAGTATTTTATTTAACTTTCTTTTTTTTTTTTTTTTTAGAAGTTAATAATGGGTAAGAAATTCGACTTATTTCTGATTAAGAATAAATAATGTTTATAATTGCTATACTAATTATATTCATTTTATTCATTATATTCATTATATATTAATTATATTTGATTAATAATAATCAAATATTATCAATAACATCAATTCCATACTATACAATTATTAAAGAATCTAAACCACGATTAATCGCTCCTACTCCAAAACATCACCAAATAAACACCCCAACTTCATCGATGCCTACAAATTCCATCGATCCACCACGATTTCATCGGGCTTATCATTTTTATCCTTCGTTTCAATCACGAGATAATAAGCCGATCATTAACAACTGGATGATGCCTGTTTTCTCTCTACATGCTCCAACTTCTCATCATTTTCCTCCTTCAACTGCTTTAAGTAATCAAAATCACTTGTATATGATGCCAATCCCTCATAACAACTCTCACTTAACCGTCGCTACTACCTCTCAACTTCATCAACCTCAATCAAATGCTTTCTCCATTAATGCCATATCTAATCATAATTCTCCTTTATCTTCATCTTCTTTATCTCGAAATCGTCATAAATGTGATTGGCCTGGTTGTACTTGGAGTTTTAAACGTTTGGAACATCTAAAACGTCATATGATCACCCATACTGGTGAACGTAAATATACCTGCACCTACCCTGGATGTGGTAAAAAGTTTGGAAGATCTGATAATTTTTCCGCTCATTGTAAAACTCATAACAAGTCTAATCAAAGAAAATCTAGAAAATCTACAAATATTATTGATGCTGAATTATCCAATAATATTAATTTAGATAACAGAGGATTATCTGATCTTTTGACAAATGATTTATCAAATAATATGTCCTCAAGCAATAATATGTCGTGTGAAATGACTTCTTCATCTCAAACTTCTACCTTAACTCAAGATCAGATCGATGCTTTTCATTATTATTGTGATGCTACTATTACTACAAATTCTAATTCTTCAATTTCTCGGTCTTCTTCAATTAATGAAGGTACAAATAACTCGGCGGATCATTCTTCTGTGCGGTTTAGAGAATGTTATTAATGATCTTTTGCTATCATGTTATTCTATTATAATTGATTTGTTTTTTTTTTTTATAATTCTTGCATGCTTTAAATTGGTTTTTTGTTGATTCCAAATTTTTTATCGATTAATTAATTAGTCTAAAGTAACAATCTTGATTTTCTTATATAACTATGAAAAGAATATTATTAGTATAGTATAAATAGGTATCATACATATATACATTGTATTACATTATATTATATTTTATTTTATTATATTATATTATATTTAGTATAATTTTAC